CCCCAAAACCCCAAAACCCCACGAATCAATCCATGAGAGAATCTAATATTCCAGGAATAGAATCATAAAAATGAATATAATATTAATAAATTTTATCGAAAATAATTTTAATATATATATATATATATCAAGATGTTCATAATTCATAAAGTTTAGCAATTCTGTTATTTTTGAAAATCTTTGTCCGAATCTATAATAGTAACTTTGATGTTCCTGGCTCTCTTCCTGCCTATCTTGAATACCATATACTTAATGTTATTACCAGGACTGATAAGTTACTTATCAGGAATAAACTGAGTAGTGACTACCTCTGCTTACTTTAAGGGTATGCATAATTTGCATCTCAAAAATTGTACGCTAAGAGGAGCTTTGGAAGGATGAGAAATTTATTCAGCTTATTCCATCTGCTTTCTAGATTTATTGATAAAGATATTCTGGATAAACTACATATTTGCTTGGTCTTTAAGGCATTCATACATATTGACAGAGATCAAAGCAGTTACTAAGTCCTCGCCTCTAATGTAATAATCTTTATCATCCAAAAGAATGTTTTTGCCTTCAATAAAATACCAAATTTCTTTGAGACTTTAACTCCATTTTCTCTCATTTTACTCTTAAATTTTGAGCTATTCCTTTGATTCTCTCTTTAAGATAGTAATCTATTCTCGCAATATATTCATATCTTATTCTATTTGATTAACTTGATTGAGGAATCCCTCAGAGAAGTCAAGCAAATCTTGCTTTTTTTATTCAAGGATCTTTGCTACTTCAAATGCTAGTGGATTATTTTCTGATAGTACCTCTCCATAAGATTTTAGATAAGCCTTTTAGGTTTCTTTCATAATTCAAAGGATCGAGTAAAATTACTTGCGATCAAAGTTCTTAAGGATAAGATATTCTATATCTTAGTGATATCGTTTGAGGCCTTAAGTAGCATAGAGAACTGACTACATTTTAGCTACTCTTGTTTGACCTTCTTTTATTGCTGACTGAAAATTTGCTACAAATGAAGGCTCCTCTTCAATTCTTTCTTCTGAACGATTAAATCTTGATTTGGAATCTGTAGACTTAGCTCTTAGTATTAGTCTGTTCCTCAACTTAATGTGACTGACAAGTCCACCGGCTGATTTGTTTGCTGAAGAATTATCTGTAAGATAAGTAGGTGGATCAGATAGTTGGTCTTCTTACTGAGATTTTTCCATTTGGAATTTAATATTACAATTTGATTATAAAATCACTTAATTGATCGACTTATATACTTTGCGGGGTTTTGGGGTTTTGGGGTTTTGGGGTTTTGGGGTTTTGGGGTTTTGGG